TGGCAAACCCGCCGGTAGGTCGACTAGAAAAATGTCGGCGTGTTTTCGAATCACCATCGCCAAGTCATCCAAGACAGCTGCGCATAGTTTGTCGATGTCGGTCGGCGTGCCAACAGCCGTTGATGCGATCCATTGGACGGCATACAGCTGCGCCCCTCGAATCATTGCTCTCTTATCATCACTACGCTGACCGTCGATGTGGTCGAATATTGACAGCTCTATTTGGGCAGTCGTCGCCATTCGCCACTCCACTTTATGCGACAATCGCCCGTCCGCCAGTCGATGCTTGGGTTGTATTCGCGTAGCCAATCGCGTCCCAGCAGCATGTCGCAGTCGTCCAAAGTTGTTGCAGCATCTTCGTCGAAAAACTGAAAATTTCGCCGCATGTTGCTCACACGTGAGGTACCTGCTCCCGATTTGCATGTGGTGTGCCATCAACCAATTTCGCGTTGATTTCAGGCATTCAGCGCTCCAGCTGCAATCACAATTTTTTCGCATTCGTCACGTCCATCAAACTGCGGCTCGCCCCACCATCAACGAATATTTTGATGCCGGTGTCGCCAACTCTTCCTTCAACCAGCATAGAGCGATAAACTGGTTCACCCCCCTTATTCAGCCAGGAATGGTCGATAGCCCAAATTGGCACTATAACCTGGTGGGGGTGGTGGCGTTTGGGCGACGCAGTCAAGTCAGTAGGTGGCCCATCTGCTACTGACGATCTCCATTTCCCGACTGCTTCTTGTCGTTAGCTAAGTTATTCTTCACTTGCGGAGGGTCCCTCTCCATGTGATCCGGCTGGTTGCGGTGGAAGCAGGTTCCCGAAAATACTCGGGATGCCAACGGGTCCCCCTCGTTGATTGATGTGTGTTGGGGCTGGCCTCGAAAGCGAGTTCCCCCTCGGAAACCCGCTCTCGTGAGTCCACGTCGTGCGTCTAGAGCATCTGCTATGCAAACTATTTTATTGAATGTCACCGGGGCTCGCTGGACGATCTCTTGCTGAATCTCCGGTTTGAGACCACCCACGTAGCGATCGATACGCTCGTTTTCGCTAAGCCCTCTGATTTGGTCGCAGATTGCCAGAAACGACGCCGTGTATTCTTGGACAGAGCCCAACTGTCTCCACATACGAAGCTTTGTGCGAGCATTTTCCCGCATGGATATGTGCTCGAATCTGTCCTTAACGCTTCGCCCCACACTTTCAACGTGCAGATCGTGGCCGACCCAACGATCAGTTATGCCTTTGTCGTTGATGAACTGTGCTCCCCATCTACCGCTCGTTGATTCCCTGCCGGGGCTCCTCCCTCGTCTAGATGCATGCGCCACCAGTCGAGTGCCGGTCCCCTCAGCAGCGACACGTGATGCGTTGTCATTAATGCTTGTTGCCATGAAGAAGATTTCCATGACGAACAGCCACCCGCTCACTATAGTTGTCATGTCGGTCGGGTTGAACGGTGGTGGCATCGGAAGTTTGATTTTAATGGCCGCCCGCTGTTCACTGTAGACATCTTCAACTACTTCAGGTGTCGTCGACGCCCTCGCTTTGCTCGCAGCATCTTTGTCTCAGGTAACATGCCGCCCCTAACGCGTTTCACCCCGCGTCTGACGAAGCGACGAGTTTTTGTTGCGCAGCGTCTGCACTTCGCTTCCCAGCGACTCGAACTTATCGGCTAGTTGTTGAAGCTGGGCATGCAATGTCGTCACTGTAGCCGCCCTGGCTTGCAACTCGTCAAACTCCTCCAGAGTCACGTTCCTAACACTACGACAGGCAGAGGTTTCCGGCGTGGTAGACATGTTGGAAATTTTACCTGACATATCTGAGGGTGCACACGCTTTTAGTTGGAGGAGCTTTGAGGAGCTCACCTACCAACCCCAGGCCAACCCTATATTATATCGGGTCCTCTCCCGATATAAACTGACAACTCTACGGAAGACAAGGCGGGCAGGAACGGAGCTCTGATACCAGCTGCAATGAATTAATCAGAGTAATAACATGTAGTATAATAAAGGAGTCGTGATTCAAGATTCTCGATACAAATGAGGGCCTAGGCATTTATAGGCACGAACAGAGCTAGTCGAGAACCACGCGAACATGTTGGGGCGATCCGGTTGGTGAAAGCCACGGAAACGCCGCGCGTCTAGGTTTGGGTTCGCGAAGTGGTTCGGGACCGAAGAAGTTGGCCGAGCTTGGACTTCCGAGAGTCGAGGGCGTACGCGCTGTAGTCGAGCCCAGTAAGGAAAAGGGGAATTTCCTTCCACATAATTTCATTGGCTCCACACTGTACATCGGCATTTCGCTGTTCTCAGCAACTGTTCCCGAAAATCTCCGTCAACTACAGAGCACGTCGCTGAAAGAACCTGGGAAACATAATGAGCCTAGGGTACCGTTAATTTCTGACGGCAAAATTAACAGCAAACTGATTTTTTTCGGACGGATAAAACATGACGATAATATTCAATATGGGATTGTGGATTAGGGCGTGGAACAAACGGTCCCGAACAGCCTTCGTCCGAACTTCCACCACACTGTACCACGCGGTTATCTAATTTAACTGAGTCAAAACCGTTTTGAAACTCACTCTACCACTCTGGTCGTCCGAACTTTCAGAAAAACGGAACTGTATGTTCCACGCCCTTAGCGCGACAGGATTATTCACTTACATTTCATTTAGATATTATGTAATAATATTTTTGGTACATTTATATTTTTAGCGCATGGTTTTTTTAATATGGAATTCCATGATCTTCATAAAAAATATAGATATTTCAAGAAAAAATTCAACACCTGGCCGAATATTTCAAAAGGACTTCGCATTACAACATTCTTTACAAAAAGAGCCATACTATGCGTCAAAGCCAACATTCATATGCGAACTCCTGTGGAAAAGATTCAGCCAATTATTGACAAAATTATTCAAATATCTATATCATTGATGAATATTATGGAATTCCATGGCAAAAAAAATCATGAGCCCAAAATATTATTCTACAAATAATATTTTTATATCATGTCGAAATGAAATGTAAGTGGACAATCCCGTCGCACTAATCCGTGATCCCATATTTAGTATTGTTGTCAGAATCCGTCAAGATTTATCCGTCTAGAAAAAAAAAATCGCTGTTCATTTAACCGTAAGAAAGTGACAGTACCCGAACCGAGGCTCATCCTGTTTCCAGGTTCGTTCAGCGACGTGTTCTGTAGTTGACGGAGATTTTCAGGAACAGTTGCTGAGAACAGCGAAATGCCATGGTACAGTGCGAAACCAATGAAATTCTGAAACGTGGTTCAATGAGAGACAAATTATCCGAGATGAACGCTAAGCCTCCCCTCTCTGCTAAAACAAACGTCGAAACCCTCCTTTCTGTGCGCTATACGAGACAACTGTGTGCGGATCGCTAGTAACAGTAACCGAACAACTAAAAACCCTTTGATACCCGCACCATCTTCTCACCCAGCAACTTCTCGAGACGCGCAAGACGTTCGCAAGCGACGAGCTATTGTAACGCCTACGACAAATTTCAGTTGCGCAATCGACAAGCTACAGCTTTAATCACGACAAGCTACAGCGGAACGAGAGAATCCCGCGGGACAGGTGGTTCCGTTGAACACCTGCTTTAGCTGGGGGGCTTGTTTGGGAGGTGGGGGGCATTTGTTCTGGCAACCGAGCCTCATAAATGCGGAAACAAGCTGCTTTGCCCGTCCCAGCTGCACCTGTACCCGTTGTCGTCGTCCGTTCCCTCTCAGTTCAAACATGGTCGGTCTTTTCGAACGGTTATCCACGTTGGAATGCTGTGACCCAGGTGGCTCGCAGCGATATGCCCAAGCCCCAACCCAGGAAACTTGATCAGCCAGTCCTTAGAAGGCTCAGTGCAGGAAAGCACTTCAAACTTACAGTTCCTTACCAGATAACCCCTCCATCCCAAAAATCCAACCTCGAAAACCTCTATCCAACCAGGAGAGTCTCCTCTCTGCGGCTCTTGCCCCAGCCATCTTCCCTTCACTCCAGCTTCTGCTTGAAACAACTTTGTTACTACCATCTGCTAGTAGCAGCTCAGAAACGACAATTTCACGCGAAGCCTCAGAGAGCGCGTTACCAGTGGCACTAGAATTAGACAGCCTTCCCCTCGGCTTCATCCTAGAAAATGTCTCCTGCAGCTCTCCGCTGGTAGCAAAACCCAGGGTGCATCGTTGTCAGACCAAATCCGTCTAGGTTCATTGAATGAGATTCAACTTGAAGAGTAGAATAGGATAGTAGCAGAATAGGAGAGTCCGCGGGGAGAGTCAGCCTCAGGCTGGTTCCCAGGGCGAGGAGCAGCATATCATGGCGCCAGCGTCTGGCTCCAGCGGCTGAAAGGCCAGACGGCTGATGCTGTGAACGTGTCTCCAACTTCAAGGTGGGGAAACAAGGCTTGGGGTTATTTGAGCCGCCTAGTAGCAGCAGCCTGAGGCCGTGATCTTGCAGTGTGCCACTGCACTTTAGTCCAGGACTTCCCACTACTAGTACTACTCATTTTCGGAGCAGTCTCCAAAATGATCCAACTTTTTGCAGATGCGTTGGCGGCACCACCAACGTCTTGAGAGTCAATCATTTACTATCCAAGGGAGTTATTTGCTATCTGGGAGATGCAGCATGACGCACACACACAGGGACAGACTGGGGGAACGGGGACCACATCGGCCTCGCAGTCGCAGCTGCAAATACTGCCGCGGCCGCAGCAAAGGTTGCAGCAGGTGCCACATCAGCAGATGCAGCATCAGCTGCTGCAACTGCAGCAGATGCAACATCAAATGCCACATCAGCAGATGCTGCAGATGCAGCACATGCCACAGTGGCAACAGAAGCTACAGCCGCAGCTACAGATGCAGCAACAGGCTCAGCCAATGCAGCTACAACAAGACCGGAGACAGCAGCTGTCGTCACAGCTACAGCCGCTGCTACAGCCAAACTTGCCACAACTACCACTACAAGGTGAGCCTGCAGTCGGTGCAAGCCCATCAGAGCCTAGCAGGCGCATGAAAAAGGCTCGCAGACGGAACTACAATCTGGGGAAGTACCGCGGAGTGAGGAAGCGAGGGGAGTTCCGGTATGTTGCAGAGATCAAGGACACGAATGGTGGGATCCGGAAGTGGCTGGGGACGTTTCCCACCGCAGAGGAGGCTGCTCTGGCATTCGACCAAGCGGCTGTGGAGATCCGAGGAGCAAAGGCCAAGCTTAACTTTCCAGAGAAGTTTGCTCAGGGCGAGGGAGGAGTAGGTTCGGAGCCTGCAGCGCCAGAAGCAGGCGGCCGAATGGAAATGCAGGGAAGTGCAGAGGAGGATGCAACAGCAGGGGGGGAGGATGCAGCAGCTGCAGGGGAGGATGCAGGGAAGGTTGGCGGGACTTGGGGCATTGGCCGGGGAGTGCAGGGGAATGGGGTAGGAGAGGTAAAAGAGGGCTGTGCTAGTAGGAGCTGTCTAGGGAAAGGAAAGGAGGCAGAGTATGCTGAGGATGTGGCAGAAAGGGACTTGATGGGAGAGGCTGCGCGTCAGAGAAAGCCATTAGGAGAGGGGACAAGCGGGGCGGTAACCGCAGCAGCTGCTGCAGCAACCGCAGCAGCAGCAGCAGCAGCAGCAGCAGCAGCAGCAGAAGGATCAGGTGCAAGGTCTGCCGCAGTGCGAGGGGGAGGGGGAGGAAGAGGAGGGTTAGCAGCGGGTGCATCAGAGGCCAGTGCTGGTGGGAGCAGGGACGGAGCAGCATGCACCCCGGAATCGAGCACTGTCAGTGGCAGCAGCTCCAGCAGACCTGCTCCTCCCATATCCGCCCCTTCTACTTCCACCCCTTCCCCCGCTGCCCCTTCCACCTCCACCCCTTCCCCCGCTGCCCCTTCCTCCGCTGCCCATTTCCCCGCTGCCCATTCCCCCTCTGCCCCTTTCCCCCCTGCCCATCCCCCCTCTGTCCCTTCCACCTCTGCTTCCTCTGCCTCTTCTGCCTCTGCCTCTGCCTCTCCCACGGCTGTGCCGTTTACCTTCCCAGCGTTTTCCGCCCCTGAAGCAGCTCCACACACCAGCATACATCCCCCTGTTCTCCCTCGCATCTCCTCGACCCTGGCCGACCCACCAACGTCTAGCACTGCCATGCAAAAGCGGTCGAATCAGGTGGAACAACCAGCATGTGCTCTTGGAACTGATGTGAGGTTTCTGAGATTTTATGGGCCTGGAGCGAGACCGGCAGGCTTGGAAGCAGGTAGAATTAGGGTGGCCGCAGGCTTGGAAACAGGTGGAGTTAGGGTGACAGCAGCGGAGCTGCGGTCCTCTCTCCTTGCAGAGGATTTTTTCCAGCAGCTGGGGATGTTGGATGAAGCCAATGGGATTGGAGGGAGTGGGGTTGGCCGGGAGAGTGTGGGTGGAACAAGGATGATGGAGGAGGAGGGTGGGATGGAGATGGTGATGGGGACAGGGATAGGCGAAGACATGGCTGGTGCTGGCCTTGTTTCTGATGATAGTTTTGTGGCTGCGGCATTGGGATTGGGGGAAACTGATGGGTATTATCGAACGCCCCACTACCACTCCCAGAAACATCGACAGCAGAAGCAGCAGCAGCAGCAGCAGCAGCAGCGACCTGGGGTACTGCCACAGAGCCAGCTGCAGCAACAAGACCCAACTCTTTCACCTTCGAATCCTCCCCAACCCCTTCAATCCTGGCAAGTCACAGCTGCCGGACCTCTCTCCACAGCCACACCTCACCGAAGCAGCCCTCCAAACCAAGGTGTGCCGAGCCAGATACAGACAGGAGAAGGGGAAAAGACAGGATTTCCTGTGATGTTCGCTGGTAGTGGAACTGGCAAGGTCACGATGCCAAGATCCCGGGAGCCTAGTCAGCCAACCACCCCTCTTCATGCATCCAATGCTGCTGTGCCAGTTGCCCCCTCCTCCCAGGGTCAATGCAGTCAACGTGGTCAATGGGGCCGGGAGGCAGGTGTTGTGATGGGTTTGGCTCCAGCAGGAGCAGCAGAGGCAGCAGGAGCAGCAGCGGCAGCAGGGCCAGCAGGGGCAGCAGGGGCAGCAAAGGCAGCAGGGGAAGCACAGGCAGCAGGGGCAGTAGGTTTAGCAGGGGCAGCAGGGACTGCAACACGGACAGTCGGGACAGCAGCATCAGGGCTTTTATGCATGGAGCAGACCCCGAGCCTAGGCGTCCGACAAGCATCGTCAGGACAACATGCGTTGCTGGGACAGGAAGCATCGGCAGGGCCAGTCCAGACACACGCAGAGCCACACGCACCGCCAAGCCAAGCACACGCGAGTTTATGCAGAGTGGAGGTGACTGGGAGAGTGCTTATGAGTGGTGAAGGTGCCTCCTTGCCGGGCGCAGACGAGGCGACAGTGGTAGTCCCCTCGTCTTGGCATGCTGGCATGCGATATGCCGCTGGCATGGTGCTGCCTTTTGGGGCACATATTGAGCAGCATGATGCGGACCAGCATGATTACAGCATGCAGAATGCTTCTACCATAATGCCGCCTTTTGGGGCACGTCTTAAGCAGCATGATACCAACTGGCCTGATGACGGCATGCGGTATGCCCTTACCATGTCAAGGAGCTCGTCTCTAGTCGTGAATCTGCATCAGCTTCAGCAGTACCAGAACAAGCAGCAGCAGCAGCCGCAGCAGCCGCAGCAGCAAGAGCAGCCGCAAGAGCAGCAGCAGCAGCAGCAGCAGTCGCAGTCGCAAACACAGCCGCGTCCACAGCAGCAGCGCCATGTGCGAAGCTCCCCTCAACGTAACTATGTTGACCATAGGGCTGGTAGGAAGAGCAAGGCTGCTGCTGCTCGTTGCTCTTCTGCAGACTTCACAAATGGCATGTCCCCCGTGAAGGATTGGAAGGAGCCCTACCTGGGAAGGCATACCCCAGCGTCAGAGCCTCATGCCGAGCCTGTGCCTATGTGGGGTCGGAGCCACACCATATCTTGCCCCCTGGAGTCGCCTGTCCCTAGAAATCCAACCCCAGAGTCCCAACCCTCCAAAGGTGACACAGGTGCTGCGGGTGCTCTGGGTAGTGCTGGTAATGCTGGTGGTGTGGGTGCTCTGGGTGGTGCTGGTAATGCTGGTGGTGTGGGTGATGTGGGTGCTATGGATGGTGGTTCTGCTGCAGGTCATTCTGCTGCATGTGTGGGTAGTGGAGAGGCTGGGGATGGCAGCACGGCGGTTGAAGGGATACCTGCTGCTGCAGCTGCTGCCAGTGTTCGTGGTGCTGGCGGTGCTGCCAGTATTGCCAGTGCTGCCGGACTGGCCGAGCCGGCCGGACCTGCCGGACCTGCCTATCCCCTTGCCCGTTCTCTCAGAGCCTGCCCGAACCTCCCCCTGCACAGGGTGACACGAACGCGGTCGCGGGACCAGGGGCCAGTGGGAGCAGGACAGCTGGACAGGGCAATGCTGCACATGGCAGCATTCCAGCCAAGACCTGCTAGCAGGTACGGTCAGGGGCTACTGAGGCGGTGGGAGGAGCAGGTGCGGGGCCCTGTGAGCAAGTACGGGCAGGGGCTGATGGAGCATCCGCTGCAGCAGAGACTGTTGGAGGGACAGCAGAGGCCGTTGTTGGAGGAGCGGCTGATGGTGCAGCAGCAGCAGCAGCAGCAGCAGCAGCAGCAGCAGCAGCAGCAGCAGCAGCAGTTGGTGGAGGCACAGTCCCAGCAGCAGCAGCTAATGCAGCAACAGCAGTTGGTGCAGCAGCAGCAGCAAGAGCTGCTCAAACCTTTCCAGCGCCCTCTCTCCTCTCGCAGCCACTCCGTTCCCACTCTGACCTCTCCCCTCTTTACCTCTCCCCCATTAACATCTCCCTCTCCCCCCTTGACCTCTCCCCCATTAACATCTCCCTCTCCCCCCTTGACCTCTCCCCCCTTGACCTGTACCCCCTTGACCTCTCCTCTCTTGAACTCTGCTGTCGCCCACAGTGCCTCTGCCTTCCACTCCCACCCATTCCTTCCCGCTCCTGCTTCTCCACCTACCATCTTCGACAATACTGTCAGCCTGCAGCACAGCAACACAGAGCAGGGTGTCAGCGAACAATTGGTGGCGATGCCCCCCCCAGCTGGGGAGTTTGATGACACAGAGCAGGGCAGTGTGGCCAGTAGCGGCGGGGATGTGTTCATGCAGGAATTTGCAGCAGAGGAGTTGGAGGCTGCATACAGTGGCGATGCTGCTGCTGCTGCTGACCAGCCTCGCACTAACCAGCCTTTTGCGTACCAGCTTACTGAATACCAGCCTATCATGGAACACCATATTAGTGGGTATCAGCATATCATGGCAGAACTCAGCACTCCTCTACCTGAACCCTCAGTGGACGTGGTCCTTCTGGAGAATGTGCATTACACTGCCTCTGCTGGCGAGCCTCGGAATTCCCCGGAAGCTGTGCCGCACGCTGCCTCTGCTGCCGAGCATCCCAGCTCCCTGATTTCCAGGGATGCTATGGCGCAGGCTGCATACTCTGCTCGAGGTCCCAGCTCCCCGCTTTCCCTGGAAAAGCCGCCGCACGCTGCATTTGCTGTCGGGGGTCCCAGCTCCCCACTTCCCCTAGAACACGCTGCATTTGCTGATGGGGGTCCCACGCTTACCTCCTCACACTCTCACATCAAGAGTACGGCCTATTACATGTATGATAGTAATTCTGCTGCTGTTATGGAGCATTTGGGAGCGACAGCTGTAGGTCTGGAAGTTGGGGGAGAGGCTACCGATGCAGGAGGGTCAGCGTATGCAGGAGATTCTCATCACGAAGCGGGGATTGCCCCAGGTGCTGGAATATACACCATTGACGCACTAGAGAGGTTTTTGATGGATAATGGGGAGTGGAGGGAGCAAGAGTAGTCGTGTAAAACGAGATTTCTCTTATTTGTTTTCTGCACGACTGTTATTTTATGGGTAGCCTTTTTGTTCATGTCATGTCATGTACAGTAACGGAAACAATTGTCCGGATGTTTTGCATTAATTCGGGTTTTTGGGCTTTTCGACCACTGTACATAAAGTTTTAATGATTAATGGTGGTACGCTTTGGGAGGGGCACATAGTGGATGTGTTCACAATGCTAAAATCCATAGTAATACACTGGATCTAACTTAGTGCCAAAAGACATACAAAGAGTACATCCGGACAATTGTTTCCTAGGACAAAGGGCAAGCTTCCAAGAAGCGTTTCTAGTACCTAGTCCACTGACACTTGGCCTTGATCACCACCAGCACCCTCCTAGGCATGTTATCTACGAGGCTAGTGCAAACCTTTACAAG